TTGTGCGAATTAGCCGACAAATGGACCGAGAGTCAGTTTGCCATGCTCATCATTAATCTGGCTTCTATGGCACACCCACTCAGTGGGATCCGAGCCAGTTTTGGCCACACGTCTAGGGATGGTTCCGTTCTTCATGACTTGATCAGGACGCCGACCAGGTTGCGGATGTGGGGGTAGGAACGAGTGCAGGAACTGCAGCGCGAGTCTGTTAGCACTATAAACCAAGTCACGCGCAAATCACCGTCCCTGCGACATCACGCTGTGGGGCAAAAGGTGGATCAGACGGTGGAATTATCGAGATTTCTGTTATGCTTCCGAAATTCGTCATGAAATCATCGATTTCAGCGCCTCTGTTAGGAAGCTGAGACCTTTCCGAAGTCCTCTTAGCTGAATTCTTCCCCTCGATACGCCTACGAAACTTTCGCTGGTTAGTGCGCCATTTTATGGTTACTCCGGTGGCCCTTCTTCAATGTTTGACAAAAATGTTACAAATTTGCCCTTGATTCTTAGGAACTAAGCATTACGGACACTCGGATAAACACATTTCTAACGATTTGCTGTAAGAAGAGTTGCAACATCGGCCACATACTAAATTTTAAAAATACGCGCGTATCTGTCTACTTAACTTAACATAGTAGGTGGGTTAATTAAACTGACCCACGCTCCTGGGGGATTGCATGTCAGAACCAAGTGCACTTCATAATCTACAACTTAAAATCTTTCTGCTAGTCATTTTATAGTGAGGCGAATGCGGAAATTGACTCACCTGCAAAGAAAGTCGTGCCTTCCCCATTCTTGGTCCATGGTCGGAGAAAAGAACAAGAACGGTGTTCGCAAAAAGTGGAGGATCGCGCTTCTTGTGGTCGCGTCTAGCCTCCCAGTCTGCATCATCATTTTCAATCTGTTGTAGGAGCTCATGTAAATCTGCATCCACAAGACGGGCCTGTGAGGGGTCTTCATGTATCATCTCAGAAAGGAAAGTAAGCGAGAATCGGCGACGGTCCGCGTTGGCATGAAAGAATTCCCGCAATGATTCGAGAAGAATTTTGTGGGTTGGCCTATTGGAGAGGGAGGGGAGGTAGTAAAGAATACGGTTGCTGTTTTTAAACTTAAGAACAGCAGGCCATTAAAAGTTGCCTTATCGGGTTTGGGATTTACTCGATTCTGCACTTACACGCTTGGTATTTTGGGTGATATGAAATGGACCTACTACGACATTAAGTCTTCATTTGGGAGCAGCTTCATCTCCCGTTGTTGGAAAACTCAAAACGCCAAGCTGGTGCAGACATTGGTTGTCTGCCTTTATTAATGGAAAACGGTGGTACTGTTCCCCTTTTGGTGAAGCCACATGTCTTGCAGGAAGTGATTACCATGTAAAGCAAGAGCTGCTTCAGTCATGGTTCCCTAGTTCGCATTCAATTAAAAAGCACAATGACTTTTCGCCTCTACATGTCATGCTACCACGCGAGAAGGATGCGGGTGATCAGCAGGTCAAACCGCTAAAAGATCACCCCGTGAAAAGCCGACAAGGTAGATATTATGTCCGGCAACAGAAGTTTATACAGGCCCACTCATTGATTCCTACTCCCTGCATGTTTTCCTACGAAAACGGTGGTTATAGGG